AGGCCGGGCTGGACCGATAGCCTCCAAAACAATACAGAGAAACCCTGTCTCGTAAAAACCAAAAAAAAAAAAATGTGGAATTTTCATTAATCTAGTTGTAATTTTTGTGTTAGCTACACCTATTGAAATAAATAGAGTAATTTATTTTCAAATAAATACAGTAAAACACTATTTGACTTTTTAATGATTAGGGGACTGGGTTCAGGGGGTTAAGAGCACTGGCTGCTCTGCAGAAGATCCAGGTTCAGTTCTCAGCACCCTCATACCCTCTCACAACTGTCTGTAACTCCTGTTACAGGTGGTCTGTCACCTGGCCTCTCACAACTGTCTGTAACTCCTGTTACAAGTGATCTGTCACCCAGCCTCTCACAACTGTCTGTAACTCCTGTTACAGGTGATCTGTCACCCGGCCTCTCACAACTGTCTGTAACTCCTGTTACAGGTGGTCTGTTACCCAGCCTCTCACAACTGTCTGTAACTCCTGTTACAAGTGGTCTGTCACCCATTTTCTGTCCTCCTTAGACTCGGCACACACAAGCCAAGCAGTGCACAGATATACTTGGAAGCAAAATACTCGTATACAAGAAATAAAAAATGAATACTTTAAAATGCTAATGACTGAACAGAGACGCACTCACTATCCTACTTGACAGGTGTCACCTGTTGTAAATACAGATCGAGGGGGACCTTGGTGGATGGCTGGACAAACATGCCAGGCAGACATTACTTGGAAAGCTTTATTGAATGAAGGGAATGGAGTGGGGAAGGGAAGGGAGAAAAAGGAGAGAGGAAGAGAGAAATAGAGAGATGCAGAGAGACAGTGACCTGCCTCCTCAGAGAAACAGCAGAAAGAAGAGAGAGGGATGCAAGCTGAGCCTGTATCTTTTTTTTTTTTTTTTTTTGGTTTTTATGAGACAGGGTTTCTCTGTGTTGTTTGGAGGCTATCGGTCACAGAGATCCGCCTGCCTCTGCCTCCCGAGTGCTGGGATTAATGGCGTGCCCCACCACCGCCCGGCAAGCGGAGCCTGTATCTTAAAGGGACCTTTGCACCTGTGTCCATAGCCATGTACTGCCTGCCATGAGTAGAGAGGAAACACACTGTGCACTCCTGGGGAGGACCTCAGGTTTCCCAGATGAACCTCTGCAGGCAGACCTCAGCCTTGGTCTATGTTTCCCTGAGAAGATAAGACGTGAGGTGTGGCACTCCAAACCAACCCACGCTATCCCACCTTACTTCTTTCAAGTGCTCTACATACCTTTCCCACAATCGTATCTACAGATTCCATAAGGGTCTGGGGAACAGGGCAGTTCAATGGTCCATGCCTATCCCAGGAGGCCTATTGTGTGGTAATTTTCCTGGAGAGACACTACATACACCCCTTATCACCCAAGACAGGGAAACCATGACAGACTAAAGTAATTATTCTACCAATGTCGAACTTGGTGAATTTATGAGATTTTATTGGAGTTAGCTACAGAGGTATAGTCGTGGGTTACTTTCAAGAGGAGGAATGAACCAAATGAGTCTGTCACCAAAAAGCCACCTCAACATGGGTGGCATCTCAACAAAGCTGCAGTCTTGGAGCTTCTGCACAGCTTGTAGGCAGCTCCAAGTGTTACAATGTCTGACATGAGTTGGTCTGGTCAGAGTCAGCTCCCCTCAGCAGCTTTATAATGTTTCTCTAACTCTGACACTGGACTAACTCTGGGCAGCAGTAAACCTTGTCAAGTTTGTTTACTTCCATGGTCTCAAGACTTTCCCAGGTCCTACACATGTTTCAACTCAGAGGAAATTGATACACAAGGTCTCTCAAATGCATGGTGACTTACCATTCCTAAATTCCATTACACGGTATCCTCTGACACTTCCATAGTATCTGTAACTGTGTAGGACAGGAGACATGACACAAGAATAGCCCCTGGTCTAGTGTCTACGGAATTAACACCATGTACCCACAAGCAAATTCTCATAACCAACACTGCTCCTCCTGCATCTCCTGCCATCTGCTGATTGCTGAGACACATTGCACTCTTGTGGGCATCAACAGCGGAACTGGAGAACTGTCCCAGGTACTGATTTGTCTGCATACACCTCCCTATTTTTTTTATAATCACTATCAATTTTACATGAATATGAAAACATACATGGTAGACTTACTACAAGTTATCTGGTAATGAATAACATCAGCCCTCCTCTCAAATCAAAACAAAAATAAAAACAAACAGAAAAAAATAGCTTAGACAAAAATATGCCAAACCAAGCCAGAAAGCACACAGAAACACGGAATCTGTTTTTTGTTGGTCAGCCACTCCTTGGCACTGGGTCCTTCTTTGGAGTATAGTGTGGTTGGCATAGTAACACTCCATCAGAGAAAACTGATTTCCCCCTTCCTAGCAGCTATCAGTTGCAAGTGGCTTTTTAGCTTGGGGGTGTAACTTTGTGTCACTTTGCTCTCTCAGTTCTGTGCCTCTGTGTGGTTTGAACCTGTATAGGTCTTATAGGTGCTGTCACAGTCTCTGTGAGCTCATATGTGTATCAGTCTTATTTGATCAGGAGGATACTGTTTCCTTAGAGTTAACCACCACCTGTGGCTCTTACAACCTTTCTGCCTTTTCTGGTTCCTTTTCCACACACATCCCCTAGCCTTCAGGGGAGGAGTTTGACAGACATCCCATTTAGGGCCAGAGAGATGTCTCAGCGGTTAAGAGAACTGATTGCTCTTCCAGAGGCTCTGGGTTCAATTCCCAACACCCACATGGCAGCTCCCAACTGTTTGTAACTCCCAGATCTGACACCTTCACGAAGACATACATGCAAAACACCAATGCACATAATATTAAATAGAGAAATTATTTTTTAAAAAGACATCCCATTTAGAACTGAGTGCTTTAAAGCCTCTCCCTTTCTGCACATGGTCCAGTTATGGGTTTCTGTGTCAATTGCCATATACTGCATGAAGACACTTCGATGATGAAGGGTGAGTAGTACACTAATCTGAGTCCCGGCCAGGGACTGCAGAGGCATTCTGAGGACAGCTGTAGAAAATGACATACTCCACTAGGAGGAAAGAACAGGATAACCAACCTACAATTCACAGCCCCATTGAGGCTAACAACGAGGGCCAGAGAGGGAAGCAAGGGTTTCCCTGGGAAGGGGAGATAGAAAAGATCTCCTGGGTAAACTGGGAGGTGGTGGGGGGGAGTGGGGGATGAGAATTTGAGGGGGCAGGTTGGGCAGGCTGAGTACAGGGTGTGAATTAGGGGTGGAACTGAGGGGGAGGGTGACAAAAGAGACATCTTGATGGGGGGGGCAGCATTTGGGGGCTAGGGAGAAACATGGTGCCAGGGAAACTCCCAGAAATCCACAAGGATGACCCCATCTGAGGGTGCGTGAACTGGTAATCAGATTGGTGAATACCCTGATGGTTATCAGAGAGCCTTTACCCAGTAACTGATGGAAGCAGATGCGGGGATCCACAGCCGAGCACTGGGCCAAGCTCTGGGAATCCTCCTGGAGAAACGGAGAAGGGACTGTATGATCCAGGGAGATCAAGGTCATGATGGGGGAACCCAAAGAGACAGCTGACCTGAGACTCTGGACCAATAGTTAGGGAGCTTGTACGTGACCCACCTAGGCCCTCTACACACGTGTGACAGTTGTGCAGCTTGGTCTGTCTGTAAGGTTCCTAGCAGTGAGATCAGGACCTGTCCCAGGCATGTAGGTGGCTTTCCTGTTCCCCATGCTGGATTACCTTGCCCAGCCTTGACACAGGGGGATGGGCTTGGTCCTACCTCAACTTGTTGTCCCATGCTTTGTTCAAGCCCCTGGGAGGCCTGCCCCCTTTCTGAATGGAGATGGAGGAGGAGTGGATGGGAAAGGGGGTAAATGAGGAGGGGCAGGAGGAGAGAAAGGAAGGGAAACTGGCTGGTATGTAAAATAAATGAAAATGTTAAATAAAATAAAAAATTTTCAAAAAAAAAAAAAAGCCGGGCGGTGGTGGTGCACACCTTTAATCCCAGCACTCGGGAGGCAGAGGCAGGTGGAACTCTTTGAGTTCAAGACCAGCCTGGCCTATAAGAGCTATTTCCAGGACAGACCCAAAATCACAGAGAAACCCTGCCTTGAAAAACAAAACAAAACAAAAAAGCATGGTCTGTGGAAATGTGTTGGGCATTTTCTAGATTGATCTAGGAGGACTCAGTCCACTGTGAACAAAGCCACCAGTGGGCAGGTGAGCATGAGCTGTGTAAGAAAAGTATCAGCCAGCAGAAATAAGCCAGTAAGCAGCACTCCTCCAGGCTTCCTGTTTCAAGCTCCTGCCTTGGCTTCCCTCAGTGATGGACTGTAACCTGTAAGTCAAATAATAAACCCTTTCCTCCCCACCTTAGTTCTGGTTGCAGTGGTTTATCAGCAACAGAAAGCTAACTATCTAGGGCCTCATGTGTGTTAGGCAAGCACACTAGTAACTGAGCTACATTCCTCAGTTACTAGTGTGATTGATTTTTTCTGACAGGTGAAGATAATTAAAGGGTAAAGAGCTGTAACCCAACCTCATTGTTCTCTCACTGAGCAAGTCACAAATTACTATTATTTATGGGTCTTACTATTATTCGTGGATATTATAATTATTCGTACATATTTTTATTCATGGATACAATAGGTTTCTTCCATCAAATTAATGAAGGTTTGTGTTCTTTATCATTCACTTGCAATGTGTGTGTGTGGGGGGGGTGGCTAATGCTCTCTTTTCCTGGAGAAACTTATAGATTGACTTATTGTGATACTCAAACTCAATTGAATTTCATCCATTGCTCCTTTACTGTGACAAAGATGAAAGAAAGGAAGAACAAAAGGAAGGAAGGAAAGGAGGGAGGAAGGGAGGAAGGGAGGGAGGAAGGGAGGGAGGAAGGAAGGGAGGAAGGGAGGAAGGAAGGAATGAAGGAAGGAAGCAAGCCAGGCTTTAATCTTGATTTTCTTTCTTTGTATTTATATGATACAGAGCTTTGAACCCAGGAACATGAACATTCTAGGGGTATATAGAGACTGGAAGTTTTGAACAAAAGATTGTGCCTCGCTCCCTCCCCTTCCCTCCACACGCTTCTTTATTCTGCAGAAGGATGCTAGGATGATGCCTGACATTTCCCTGGAAGTCTGAAGCCAGAATGTTTTATATTGATGTTATGAAGCAAGATGCATAATCGGACTATCATCTATACTGCCAAGGTGCCCCGCTCTGTTATCTCTGAACCGTTGGTTAAAAGAACCAATTCTTCTCTAGACAGTAAAAACACAGCCGCTCCATCCCACGCGTTAAAATAGAGAACCAAGCATTGAAGGGCCGAGGACGTGGTCCAATTGGTAGAGTGCTAGCCTCGCATGTATGAGTCCCTGGGCTCCATCCCCAGTATCACATAAACCGGGTAAGGTGATGCACACATGTAATCGCAACGCGCTAGATGTAGGGGGAATCAGGAGTTCAAGTCCAGCCTTGACTACATAGTGAGTTTGAGCCGGACTGGGATACAATGAAACCTGTCTCAGAGAGAAACTGGTATACAGACAATCAAAAGAAACAGACCACAGTATCCATCTTGAGCTCAGCCATGAGCATTTAGAATCCTTGGAACAGACTGGCAGTTCTCTAGTGTTTGATGAGCCCTCCTGACTGAACGGCTCTCTTGTATTTGAGGAGCCCTCCTGACTGAACAGCTAGACGAGGTTGCATTCCAGAGGAGAGGCCCAGGTTTGCATCACAGTGACAAAAACAGTACAGAGAGTTCTTCTGATAGGAGGGACACGATAAGCGAGGGGAGCCTTATTACACATCCTACTATCTGCAAGTCCCACTATGCGCCCGAAGGCAACTCAATCTCTTTCTTCTTCTCTGTACCTCCAATTCTGCCCTGCATGCTCTCACCACATCAAATACACATACCTGAAACTCTGTTTCACACGGAGCTGCTCTGCACTGTCTGGAGAATGATCTGTGATAGCTGTGCTTTCGGTTAGGAATGTTGTGAGTTTGCTCTGTCTGTGGCTAACCATGTAAAAGGATAAATAGCGAGGCTGGACCGATTGCTCAGCAGTTAAGTGCACAAGATGCCCGTGGAGCAGACGGGAGGAGGGGGGAGTGGAGAGAGTTGTGGGGAAGGAGGGAGGGAGAAACTGGGACTGGAATGAAAAAAAAATGAATTATTAAAAAAAAAAAAGGGCCGGGCGGTGGTGGTGCACGTCTTTAATACCAGCACTCGGGAGGCAGAGGCAGGCAGATCTCTGTGAGTTCAAGACCAGCCTGGTCTACAAGAGCTAGTTCCAGGACAGGCTCCAAAGCCACAGAGAAACCCTGTCTTGAAAAACAGAAATAAATAAATAAACAAACAAACAAATAAATAAATAAATAAATAAATAAAGCACGAGAGATGCTCTCACAGAGGACCGGAGTTCAGTTTCCAGCACATCAAGCCACTCACAGCTATCTGTAACTACAGCTCCGGGGGATGTGACGCCCTCTTATGGTTTCCATGGGCACCTGCACACATGAAACATATACATGTATACATGAATACAGATAAAAACAAATCTTTTCCTATACATACTAAGTGAAACATTCTTTATCTTCTTTCTCCCCTACCCCTTTTCTTTCTTGTACTGAGGGTTCAAACTAGGGCATTGTGCATCCTAAGCAAGAATTCTACCACTAAACTTCAGTCCCAGCCCTCAAGTGGGACTATTTTTAAGGACAGAAGAACCATGACCATATAGCTAGGTGTGTGTGGTGGTACATGTACTTGAGCATATTTCTGTGAGTTCAAGTTCAACCTTATCTACATAGTGAGTTCCAGGCCAACAAGAGCTACATACACTATGAGATCCTGTCTCAAAGCAAAACAAAACACAAACATGTTAAGCTAGAACTGGTAGGTTGACTAATAATTCTACTGACCACTTCAAACTACTAACCATACCCTTTCTACCTAATTTCCTAATATACAGAACATACAATTACATAACAGACACTTCAATTACACATTGTACATATTCCTGTTGGGTCCAGGAGGTACATAATTCCTTTCTCAAGCATAAGCCCTGATCAATGTGGTCTCCTGACTGAAAAACTGCAGGCACGAGAAAAAACCTAGGAGGAGTGCCCACTGAGACAAAAGAAGCCAAGGGCAGGGAAACACAAAAGAAAGAATTCAGATAATGCAGCCAAAGAGACTGTTTCCTAAACTCTGCTGGCAATCTCCAGGTACGAGTTAAACAACATATAAACAGCAATGAGAAAAAACAAAGATTGCTCATTCTGGAAGTGAACACAGGCTCTTGTGTCTTTGTCTCCCATTACCCTCTTTCCAGGTTCCTGAAATGCCCAGGTGTGGTGACCATGGTATAACTGTTTAACATATAATGTTTCTAAATGTAAAAAATATCCTAAAATATATTCGTTAATCATATATAATTATGTACTTCTGACACACACGTCCCCAAATTCAGACTTTAATATCAAAGTCAGTAAAAATTAAGGGTTTTCGGCACAAGAGATAAGGAGTACAAATATTAAATCAAAATACTGCTATGTGAAAACCTTAGTTTTTAATTTGAATTCTCGTAATTTACATGAATTGATTAGAAATGCCAACAAGAACCCATTAACGTCTAACAGACGCCTGTTCACACTAACCCCTGACAAGCCCAGTACCGATTATAATCTTGTGGCAACAAACACAACTTACTCCCCCCACCTTGTGATTATTAAGGCATCCAGTATTTCCAAAATGCCTAAGCCAGGACAGTCCATGATGAGACTGGAAAGCATCGCTACAGATGAAAGGAGACGAAACGGGAAAGAGGGGGGAGGAATCTCTATACAGATAGCTCAAATCAGGAGGCACTATTAGCATCCCTCCACAGCCTCCCCTGGGCTCCCCATTTCTTGCTTTTGTCTCCACTCGGGGCCGGCGGTGCAACTTAGATCCAAAGGTACATCCCTGATTACAAATGCCCACTCTCTCTTGTGAAAGGGTGTTTTCTTCTTTAATTGTCTCTCTGGTCTGAGAGAGAGCGAGCGAGGGGAGGCAGAGAAGAGAAAAACAAATAGAAAATGAAACCGGTGACAAAAAAAAAAAAAAATAGCCACGCGTCGCCAAGAGAAGATAGTCTTTCCTCGACAAGGCTCCAACCGACCCTGCTGTCTCCACCTCCAAACGTTCATTTTTCGATCTTAAGGGGAAATGGTTGGGAGACTAGAGCAGATAGTAAAGGGGAGGGGGCGGTCCACAGGGTTTGGCGTGGCATCCTTAAATACCTTCCGCCTCGCTGACTTCTATCTAACAGAACAACTACAAGTTCCTCAGCCGGAGAAGAAGGGCTCGCCGGGGCAGTCCGCTCCGGCCCGACCAGCCTCGTCCTTCCTTACGTCACACACCGCTCCCAACACCCGAGTGGCAGCCATCTCCACGCCTCCCCCCCCTCCAACCTCGCCGCGCCGCCTCCTTCCCACTCTCGACCCTCATTGGCTCAAGGCCCCGCTCGTTTCCGTGGTTGCTAGCGGCAACGGAAGGCGGACCCAACCCCGGTTGCTAAGACACCCCACTTCCGCTTCCGGTCCTCCCGGGCGGCGGCAAGCCAATCGGGTGCGCCCGACCAATGGTGAACGGGGAAGTAGGCGGGACTTGGTTGGGTCCGGACCAAACAAGCGCGACCCTGGGCGGCCAATGGTGGCGGGACGGCCCCTGTAGCGTGGCTCGGGAGCCCCCACGCCCTCTTGGCGTCCTCCTCTCCTCCTCACACCCTCACCCCCTCCCACCCTCCACCCCGCGAGGCACCGCCCCGCCCGATCCTGGCCGCAGCCTGACGGAGACGCCAAGGAGCCGAGATGGCAGCTGCCGACGGCGACGACTCGCTCTACCCCATTGCGGTGCTCATCGACGAGCTCCGCAACGAGGACGTTCAGGTGCGGGGGGAGCCTTCCGTTAAAGCGTGCCCGGGGGAGGGGAGGGGAGGGGGGGAACCGGGATGTCCGCGGAAGGCGGCGGGGTGGGGGAAGAGAGAGGTGAGGCGATGGCTCCGGGTTCTCCGGGAGTGGCGGAAGGCAGCGGCGGCCAATCAGAGGCCGGCTCTCATCGTTCCCGGTGGCGGGATTCGATGAGACGGCGCTCCTGATTGGGTCCCGGGCCCCCAGCGGAGGGCAAGCCTCGAGGGTCCCTCCTGGGTGCGCGCGGCCGCCCCGGGGACCTGTGCCTGGGCGGCCCGAGATGGCCTGGGGAGGGAGCCTGCGGCCGCCTGCCAGTCGGGTGATTGGCGGCGGCGGCGGGCTCAGAATGCCCCCCCGGGGGGGGGAGACAGACCGGGGTGTGGGGCGCGTGACCTGCCGAGGAGGGCAAGCCCCTCCTGGGTGCTGGGGGACCCGGGTCCATTGCTCTCCATTGCTCTCAGCGTTGGCCCCAGCTGGGCCGAGTTGGGGGGGGAACACTGATACCAGGGCACCAATCCATTCCTCCTCGCGGGCCGCCGCCTCTTTATTTTGGGGTAGCCCATCCCCCTGGAGAAGGACGGAGGGAAGGAGGACGGGAAAGTCACCTCTCCTGAGATTTAACTCGCCTAATTCCAGGGACGGGTCACGTGTACACACGCATACCACCACCACCCACTCCCAGGCCGGATCGGGCTTTTGCCTAAGCGGGTTGATAGTTGAGGTTCGCGGGCGAAGAGTGACCCCGGGGCTTTAGTGGGTCTGCGGTGGGTTTGGGAAAAAATAAAAAGAGGTCAGACCTCAAGGCCGCATCCTCTCACCTGAGGCTGACCTTGTGTTCACATTTTTTTCCGTCGCCCCCTGGCTTCCGTTTTCTACAAAATACCGGCTAATAATAGTCCTGGCTCACCCCGATGCCTGAGGAAAGGTAGTAAAATAGAACTGGCCGCTTGTAAAGGGCCCATAAATGTTAGCTGTTAGTTGGGGGGAGGGGGCGGGAGTGGCTGTTGCGGTACCATGCTCTGTGGTGCCTCTATTTCTCCTGGAAGAATTACCTGTGGGGCACTGGGTAACCTGAGGCTGAGCCCAGCCTCTGAGTCTTGGGTATATGATTCTGGTTCTGGTACCAGGCAGGCTGGAGCTGTATTTCTGGGCCTTCCACTTTCTGCTGATTGACTCAGGCAATCCGTGTTTTTCTTCTGTTAAATGGGAATAGCAACCTGGTTTTAGTGTTCAGTGAACACATGCGGTGTTGTAAGGAATGTTGTTGGGGGCTGGCTTCGAGGTGGTGCCTGTAAACTCAGCGCTCAGGAGGCAGGGGTAGTGGGTTCAAGGCTAGCCTAGTCCACATAGTGACACTGTTGTATCAACAAAGAAACAGGCTGGTTGTTGCACGGGTGTGGAACAGGTAAAGAGAACTACCACCTGTAATAAGTGATGAGCC